AAACTCGCGGTGAATATGTACTCAGGCCTTGTACACACCGCCCGTCACACCATGGGAATTTCTTTTGCCCGAAATCTTCTCTATGATAAACCAATGACTTTGATACATTACGCACGTCAAGTGCGCAGCATGTTTTTCGCATCGTTGATCATAGAGACACGGCGGGACGCCCATCTATGTGTTTGATGATTGATTTTTAGGTAGTGTGTGGTCACACTGCCTGGCGCAGGCCGAGTTTGGCCTGCGTCATCCGGACTCCGTTTTGAGGGCCCAGACTGCTGCGGAAGACGGGTTACTGCAAAGCGAGAAAGTCATGACCGTACCTACGTAGTTGCACGTACCCGCTTAACCATCTTGCTGCACTCCCCTCCAGGTAGGAGGCAGCCACAAGCACTTCCTCGTGAGGCAAGGTAAGCTTGCACTTAACATAGACTGGCACTGACCTCAACCACGTGTCGAGGTCCTCACCCCTCTTATCCCCTGAAAAGGGTTTCGGCGATGCAATGGCAGTCTTGGGAACCCATTGTCCTTGTCCAGGTGCCTGCACCATTCCAGGCTGTGGGCCCTGGGGCGCAGGCTGCTGCACTAGCTGCTGCTGGGGCTGTGTACCCTGTGGCTGTGCCGGCTGCGAGATGGCAGGCTGCCCAGTTACGGCAGTCTGCAACGGAGGTTGGGAGAACACTGTCTGATCAGGAACCTGTACACTAGGACCTGCTGCTAACCCGCCTGTCAAGGGCTACCAGTCGGGAAACGGCCTGTACCGAAGCTGGAGAGACTACAAATGGGGATACTCCAGTCACCGGTGGGACAAAAGGAGGAGGATGTACCACGGGCCAGGCATTGGGCCCTGATGGTGATGGTGTACCCTGAACTCTCTCGAGCAGCACGACCAGGCTTCGTTGGATGTCCTGCAAGAGTGACGTGTGGTAGTCCTGCATCTCCACTACATCTAACAGGGTTGTCCTCACGGTCCTCACATCGCTATCCATATTAGTCAGGTCCATCCTCTCTAACTCTCTGATGTCTGCTTGTCTCCGTTGCATCCTGATCCTTCTTCTAATCATTCCCTCCTTTTCTGCCTGTATCTCATCCAATGTCTGTTGTAGCTGTTGTGCCTCATGAGCACTTGCTCTCTGTATGGCGACCTCCTCGGGAGTCGGCACTAACTGCTGGCTTGCCATAACGCCAGTGGACTGACTCAGGGTATGTGCGACCGTCGCCCTGACTGTCATTGAGCTACTTGCCTGGGAACTTTGCTGCTCAGCAGTGGCCATGGCTGCTGAAGTAGCTGCCTCGCTTGAAAAAGCTCTGCGGCCCTAGCCCTCTTTTGGTGCTGCTGCCTCTCCCTAAACCGATGGAAGAGAAAACGGTTTCCCTCTGGCCCTAAAGCTACGTGGACCAATGGGCGCCTTGCCGATCACAGGATCCTATCATCCGGGTCAGGGTTCTCCTTGTCGCTCATAAACTAGAGCACTGTGCATGGGCTGCACTAAGACAGACCTGGTTGCCTACCGCAGCATAGTGCTCAGACCAATTTTAATCGGTGGCTATGTCAGAGTATACACAGTTGGGTCCAACAAGTAAGTCCAAATTCCTACAAACAAAACTATTTTATTGCACTAGTCCACAAACAGAAAGCAAATGTGCAGAAACAGTTCTACAGAACTAATCAAAATAGTGCACAAACTAGTCCACTACCTATGTTGTCTGTCAGATGTTAATGGTTGTACATCTAACTAGTCAAAATAAAAATAGAATCATTTGATGGGCTGTTGGCAGAGTGGAATTGTTCCAGAACTTATCACCTGAAATCTACCCCTCCCTCAGTTCTTCTTGATTGTCACTTGACGTCAGCGTCCCTGAGCAATCCAGGTAGCGTCCCTGAGCAATCCAGATAGCGTGCGTGTCTAAAGGTGTGCACACGGCCCACCCCTGTGCCCCGAGTCAATGCTGAGCTGGACAGCCCTGCACCGTGTTTACCCTCGCGTGCAGCGAGCCTTACACGGACCAATTGGCTGATCAAGAGGCATTTAAGGACGACCCCCGAAGTCCTCAGGAATTATTTAACATCACAACCAATGGAAGGTAACCCCGCCAATACTTATTTATAGACGTCCGGTGCTTGTCTCCCCTGTAGGGCTGGCCTGCCCCTCATAACCCAACGCAGCAGGAAGACAAAGGACAAAGCAGCAAAGCATGCGTACTCTACTCCCGTTGGGTTGGCATGGTGACCGCGACGCAGTGCTTCGTCCAGGGCCCTTCAGATAGCTCCGCCCTCTCCTTCCAGATGCTCCACGTGAACAATGTCGACTCTCAAGGTTGAGCGCACTCGACTCCTCACATGAGAGGACTCTCAAGACAGAACACACATCCTCACGGTAAGAAGTGTCGAAGAGGGTAGATAAGGTTAAGAGCAGCGTACCTCAAAATAGCTGCCCCCAACCACATATATTCTCACCAGATGACCTGATGTCGATTGTGATGACCAATCGCTGCTTCGGCACAACCAGCATTACACCGCCGTTCCACCTCAGCATCAATCACACATCAGATAGTTCTCATCACACTGTGAAACAGCCAACACCACTTCGTAGCCTTCCTGGCGATACCTCTCTCCGCGGGGGTCGCCTGCTTGCCTTCGCCCTCCTCACTACACACTCCCTACGGCCACTCACCCAGCAGACTGCATGGATGTACCGCATAGGCAGAAGACAAGCGCCAAATTAGCGCAATGTACCACAGCTCCGATACCAAAATGCAAGGAAACCAAAGCAGAATTGCAACATGAGTTCCACCAAATAAGAGCACAGCAGAAGCACAAGTGACAATGTTGGAATAGTCTCATCATCATCATCAATGAACCAATGTCGACTTCCTATCTGGTGCTCGGCGCCCAGACTACAATGGCAGATCCTATCTAGCCTATCTACAATACCGCTGGTGACGTCAACAGCTCCCCGAAGTACGAGCAGATCTCGGCCAATGTCGTTCGCCTCAAGCACCAGGTATGTCTCACGCTCCACTCACAACCTCGATCCCCCACACAGATGCCACGTGCACCCAACCCCATCCAGCACCTCGCAGGCCAGCTCGGCTATGGCTGCCTGCGTATCCCTTGCTTGCCCGTGAGCGCGTGGGCGCTTGCCTGCCAGTAGCGCAGCAGCGCTTGTGCAGCATGTAGCAAATGCCCGAATGCCCAATGCGAGGGAAGGCACTTTCCTATATGGAAGTGACCTGCCTGCCGCGTGCTGCCTGGCCACGCTGGGCCCCTGCCCAGAAGCTTCCGGTAGGCCCCAAGTGGCTGAGCCCCAGTCCAGGGGAATCAGACACAGGGCCTGGGCTGGTTACCCGTGTCCAACTGCGAGCGGCCTGTGCGCAGTCCATGGCCCGTGTCTAGCCCAGGGCCTGCCTCAGATACATTTGAGAAAGGAAGGCAGGGCCTGAGTTCTCCCAACCAACTGGCGCTGCGCAACTGCCTGAATTTCCCAGTTGCATGGTAAGCCCAAAATAGACCTCTCCTACTTGGTCGGGCCTGCCTTCACTTAGGGCGGCCGACATTGCTGAAAACAGGGCCCAATAGGGCTCGTCGAGGCCTTGAGCCTCGCAGTTGTGTTATTTCAAAAAAAAAAAAGAAAAAAAAAGCTCAAGACTATCAAGGACAAAGTGTTCTAAGGCAAGGAAGATTCCAGTGGAAGAGCACTGAAAAATTTCAGGGGCAGATGTCCTTTGCTCAGGACCTATCCTTCAAGATTTTCTTGTGTCAGTGATAATCTTGCAGGCTCGGCAATATTGATCTGAGAGAAACTCTAGAAGAAAGGCACCTGACAGTCAATCCTCCATTAACATGGAGGTATTAATGCTGTTTCAGGGGTCCTTCAGTCATAGGAAGGGAAGCATAAGGATGTACACAATGTATTCTATGGCTTGCGGGGGGAAAAGAAACTGGCCTGATGGTCCCCAAAACGAATATGAAGCCGGGTCAATAAGGACCTGTTTCTTTAAGTTAAAAAAAGGTAAGAGAAAGCACACTGAAGTGCCCCAGATAAGGCATCTGCTCCATATACCCGAGAAAAGCCAGCCAGTGGGAGAGCCTTTAAATGAACAGTGAAGTGCAAATGTTCACGTAGTGACATAGAGTACCCTTTCCATACCAGATTGATATCAGCTTTCCTCAACTGAAGTGCCTAAGCTTACGACCTAGAGAATTCATGACCCTAGCAATGCATAGCCTGGTTCAGATGGTATGGTTACTTAAAGAATTCAAGATACTAGCAATGCATAGCCTGGTTCAGACGGTATGGATACTTGAAGAATTCATGACACTAACAATGCATAGCCTGGTTCAGATGGTATGGATGTCAGCACGATCATAACATGATATATTTCTCCTCATAGTAGCTGATGCCCGAGTGCCACTATGTTGTCCTATGATACCCATCTGTCGCAAGTTTGCTGGCATGGTCTCCTTGAACTCTCAACGCACATCTCTAATCCTGATGTGAATCATGTGATCTTAACTTGACTATTGATAAATGTATCCAGTTGCCATCTCATTTGCTGGATCATTCATAAGGAGCATTCCTGAAGTTGCAGTGCTAATTTTTAAATTTCAATCACTTATCTGGTCATTTTCGTCCCCATTTTTTTGGACAAGGGATGTTTTTCCTTTGGGCCATTGTTTTCCTTCCTGTCTATATGCATGTCTCCCTTCAGGCTTGTTTCAGGGAAGAACAGAAATGGTTCAGGAGTTTGACTTTTAGTTCCATGTTTGAATTTTGAACTTAGGTGCAAAAGACTGGCGTGATGGTGCAGCGTTCATCCGGATTTCCAGTTCTGATTTGTGGTGATTCAATATGTGGGCTGTAATTACATCAACGATTGCTTCTGCAAGCTCGGTATCGAGTTGTGTGTGTGTGCGTATTGTGTGCAATATGACCAAATTCAATGAGGTTACTCGAAAAATGACAACTTGGCTTCGATGGGTGTTTGGTTTCTGACAGGTGGCCGCAAATCAGCGAGGAATCACGCTAATTGGCGAGTTGATCAATTATTATGGATTGGATGTCGTGCAGGCATACATGCATCATGTACAGGTTCGGTCCAAATTGCAATAACAATGGAACAGAGAGTTAGGAACAGGAAAACTCTTCGTTTTTTTTTTTTGACTGGTGGCAGTTACACCAGGTTAATGATAAAAACAGAGCTAATAGCCTTGTGGAAGAATTACGTTATCCAAACTAAGGGTGAAATGCAGACAAAAGAGAAGAACTAATCAAGGCCTTTGACCAACAGTACCTAGGGCAGGGACTCTTAGCATATTTTTCCTGTTCCTAGCTCTCAAAATAGGAATTCCGTTCTCTGGATTCCTCTCTGGGGTATTTGCTTAAAATAACACAGTGGAAAAACTCTGAAAGTCGTCCCTAAGTCCCTTGATCATCATGCTTAAAATATTGGAGAACTGGAGGAAACCGTACACACCACTGCGAGACTCGGTCTTCGCACAACTCGCGAGTTTAGAGTACTCCATTTCATGGAACTTGTACAAAGACTCGTCTTACTGAAAAACACCAGCGCAGAGGGTCCTTGGCCTTTTCTTTATCTTTTCTTTGTCTGATAGGATTTCGCGTATTGCTGTGTCTAAGTCATAGGTGCAGTACCGAAGTCTCGAGCCGCTGTCCCATTTACCATAGTCGAACCAGTAGGCCCAGTAGTCCAGTAGCCGCTGTCGGTTACCATAGTCGAACCCGTAGACTCGGTCGGTAGGTCCTTAGGCTAGGACGATGAATCGACAGTAGGCCAACAATAGCAGCCCAGGACTCGGTCGGTAGGTCCTTAGGCTAGGACGATGAATCGACAGTAGGCCAACAATAGCAGCTCAGTCCTGGGAAAGTCCGGTGCCTACCGGAAGAGTCAAGCGACGACTGCGGCCAGCAGGCAAGGCCCCGCTACCTGTTCAAATTCCAAGCTTAGGAGCTGCGGCTAGACAGTAGTCCAGCGGCCACAGACATCAACATAATTTCTATTCGAGTCCGTCATGAAAGCGCTGCTCTGTACTTGGTGCTCTCTCCACTCAAACTGGAGGAAGTGTAGTCAACTCTGCAAGGCACCAAAGCTAAGGCTTAAGAGTGAAGAGTGAGAGAGAGAGAAGGAGAAACAGAAGGCATTCGGAGAGGGAAATGGTCCACGGAGAGAGAGAGAGAGAGAGAGAGAGAGAGAGAGAGAGAGAGAGAGAGAGAGAGAGAGAGAGAGAGAGAGAGAGAGAGAGAGAGAGAGAGNCTCTTCTCAGTCCACCATCTCCTTCTCACCCTCTTGCTATCTGACTTCACTACATCAGCAGACTAAGAGAGAGAGAGAGAGAGAGAGAGAGAGAGAGAGAGAGAGAGAGAGAGAGAGAGAGAGAGAGAGAGAGTTGCCTGTTGGGAGTGGGGAGGCGGCAATAGCCGCCCTGTAGACAAGTTGAGGTTCGTTCATTGTTCTTTGATTTCCAATAATAGTTTCGAGTTTCTTATATTGTGTTCGTCGTTTCTCCCTTCGAAGACATAAATATTTTCCAAAACTGTCCAATTTCAAAGTTAAAACAGGAAAACTTTGAGATTGGCCACAGGGCCCAAAACTTTCCAATCAAACTAGTCCTAAACCCGATTGCCCACAGGGCCTGAATAAAAAAATAAAAATAAAAAATAAAGAGCACAACTGCACAACACAGGAAAATACCTTGTCTCTGTTTGCTTGCAGTCGGCTGTACCCACAACATTCATGGTATAGCCATTTTGAGGCTTTTGTAAACTGCTATTCCAGAAAGACACGTAAACCTGGCTAAAAGGGCCAGGCACCCGAGAGAAGAAGAGTTACCTGAAGCAAATGTGGAGCAACCATAGCCCGATGTGTGCTTGTTGTTTTCCCATACTGTCGGGAACCGAACGTCGTAGTCCGGTAGAAGTCCACCAGTACCCGACCAGAAAAGTCAAGTCCCAAAGTCCAATTTTGCAGCAGCGTCCCAAGGAAGTCAAAGGACCTTCCGGAACATACGGAGCATGCAGTAGGCAGGCCGCGGGCGACTAGTACCGGTCTGAAGCAGGCAAAGCATGTCAAGATGTCGTATTTATAGCTGGTACAATGACTCCACCAGTCAGTTGTTCATTCGCGAATTGCGGAAGCGCTGCCGGAGGTTTGTGTGACAATGTGACTTGGGCGGCGTGTGTTGAAGGAGGAGGGACTACACTTGAGGAACTCATAGCTAGGTCTCGAGTCGAAGATGGTGGGGGCCATAGCCGCCGAGGTTGAGGGCTGGGTGATGCGAGTGTATCCAAGGTAGCGATCTAGGGCAGGTAGAGGTAGAGAGAGAGCGAGAGTGAGGGTAGGGTGAGTGATACAAGTTCAGAGCGAGTGAGGATGAACGATACGAGGTAGGAGAGATAGGTAGATAGATAGATAGATAGATAGATAGACGGACAGACAGACGGACGGATGGACAGACAGATAGAGACACAGAGGCGGACAGAGGGACAGATAGAGAGACAGACAATTAGACGAATAGACAAATAGCGAGGCAGATAGATACGGCCTGTCGGATAGATACGGACCAACGAATAGATACGGACGAATGGACGGACAAGCAGGCAGATAGAGAGAGAGATAGACAGAGAGAGAGAGAGAGACAGATAGACAGAGAGAGACGGATAGACAGAGAGAGAGACAGATAGATACGGACGGACGGATAGATATGGACCGAAGGACAAACGGACCGACGGATGGATGGATGGATGGATTGACGAACGAACGGACAAGTGGCACAAAAGAGCGGCAGAGGAGCTTGCCCAGATGCATCAGAGGCCCCTCAACAGGAGGTCGCGAGACAGGTCACAGGTACCCTCCAGCCCCCATCGCCCACAAGGAAAGAAGACGAGGCCAGACGAGAACACTAGTGGCAAGTGTTTCCTCTGCAAGAAGGGTGTACATTGGGCCCATGAGTGTCCTAAGTTCCTTAAGGACGCAGCCAACAGGCAGACGGACAGGCGAACAGACGGACAGGCGAATAAACGGACAAACAGACGGGCTGACGGACAGACAGACAGACAAACAAACAAACAAACAGACAGAGGCAGTCACACTTTGGGGGAGAAGAAGTCGGTTACTTATCAAAGAGACTGAGAGACTGAGAGACAGAGAGACGGATAGACAAAGAATTAGAGAGACAGATAGATGGAGAGATAGAGAGACATACACGTAGATAGATAGATAGATAGATAGATAGATAGATAGATAGATAGATAGACGGACGAACAGACGGATGGACGGATGAACAGACGGACGGACAAACGGACGAACGAACGGATGGACGAACGGATGGACGGATGGATGGAGAGATAGGTAGAGAGAGAGACAGAGACGGATAGAGAGACAAATAGATATACAAACAGTTAGACGGATAGATAGATAGCAAGACAGATATATGCGGCCTACGAACCAATGGATAGATACGAACCAATGGATAGATACGAACCGATGGACGGACGGGCGGGCGGATAGAGGGAGATATAGACAAATAGAGAGAGAGATCGACAAATAGAGAGACAAATAGATACGGACCGACGGATAGATACGGAATGAAGGACAAACGGACGGATGAACAGACAGATGGACGAACGGATGGATGGATGGATGGATGGACGGATGAACGGACAGGTGGCACAGGAGAGTGGCAGAGGAGCTTGCCCAAATGCATCAGAGGCCCCTCAATAGGAGGTTGCGAGTCAAATCACATGTACCCTCCAGCCCCCATCACCACAAGGAAAGAAGACGAGGCCAGGCAAGAAGGCTAGTGGCAAGTGTTTCTTCTACAAGAAGGGTGTACATTGGGCCCATGAGTGTCCTAAGTTCCTTAAGGATGAAGCCAACAGGCAGACGTCAGACAAATAGACGGACAAACATACAGACAGAGGCAGTCGCACCCTTGGGGGAGAAGAGAGTCGGTTACTTATCAAAGAAACAAAAAGACAGAGAGATAGAGAGACAAAGAGATAGAGAGACAGAGAGATAGAGAGATAGAGAGACAGAGAGACAGAGAGACAGAGACACAGATAGAGAGAGAGACATATAGATAGATAGATGGATATGAGATAGATAAATAGAGAGACTAAGATCTGGATAGAGAGACAGATATATACAGACTGATAGGTAGATATGGACTGATGGATTGATGGATGGACGGACCGACGGACGTACGGACGTACGCGGTCGGGCCTCCCGGACAACCAACGTGACCTGAGCGGCCCGATGGGGAACGTAAACATTAAAAAAGAAAATGTTAGTGACCTGAAAAACTACTGATTCATTTCATGTTTTGCATGAAAAAAAATCAGAAAAAAAAAAAAAAAAACTCATGCCATTCAAAGGAAACAAAAGAAAAGAAAAGAAAACATGCAAAAAAAGGAAAAAAACTTATTTTTGCTTATCTTTGGGGTCCAGGTTTCCAGAATTTCTGAAGTTACAATTTCCATTTAATTTGTTACCAGTCTACACCTGGCATGAGCCCTTTCAAACAAATGTATTTTCTTTTCTGTCTCACTTGAGGATGGAATCTGCTGTTACGGTCTTCACCCGAATACAATGAACGATCGTTATTACTGTATGTAGATAAAGATAACTTTTATCATTGACTAAAATATGCGAACGTTGACAAAAATGCGCCAAGTACAATAACTAAACATTAAGGGAAACAGTTAGAGACCATGGTGACGATGTCACACTTGCAATTTACCAATACAGTGAAATGAAGGTGGGAAGGAGAATGGTAAAACACAGAGGACAATGATCAAATGGTGACAGTGAGTTTGCTTGAATTTCCTGGAAAATTCCTCAGTCGAAGCCGGGTAATGGCCCTGGTACTTCGAACTGAAATTATCCACGTTGGGCAACACATGGTTGGTTAATCTTATCCATGCCGTTAATCTCGACCCTGGCAATGGTGACGAAGATAAGTGCTATGATTGACAAAAATATGCAAACGGTGACAAAGAATATGCCAAATACGATAACTAAACAGTAAGGGAAACAGTTAGAGGCCATGGTGACGATGTCACACTTGTTTAGT